TGAGTCACAGGACCGCCCTGGGTGCCTGAGAGAGGGAGAGCGAGAGGGAGAGAGAGTCAGGCTATAGCTCCTGGTGGGTGTGTATGGGGGGTTTGATCGAGACAATGGCAAGCATTCTTTCAATTTACAAGTGAGTGTCCGTCAGTGCAAGGCCTGGGGGAGGCGGCTTTGTCAGCAGTGAGGAACACCAGTGTATTCTCATGCTAATCAGCCTGCAAATGAAATGGCCATTATGGAGCTGTGCGGAGGGCAGGGGAGTGAGTGCAGTTTGCCTGTGTTAAGGATCACCACACATGCCCACAGCTCAGACTGCTGTTTGTTTTTCTAAGGCTAAATATTGGCCGCAATACATACTATTACATAAATGTTCTTCTGTGCTTCCCACATGGACACAAATGCGCCTTTCAGGCTGAAGCCTCTTTGGCAAAATGCTACTATAACTGATTTGAACAGCCTTCAGAAACATGCTTGCATCGGTTCTGTTTATCCATCGTGGTCAGACAAGTTGGAGCTTCAGATGGGATGATGCTCCCCCCCCCCAAGCAGGGGGTGTGTGGGAGGCCTTCCACTCCCCCATCAAAGGATTCTTCCAGCGTTCACCGAAATTTCAGAGAGGGCTTGTTCTTTAAAACGTCTGTGTTTGTTGTTTATTTACCGAGGCCCTTTGTTGCTCTGCAGAGAGCTAGGGGTGGCGGTCCAGCAGAATGTCCCTGTAACTTCCGCTTCAGTTCAGCCGAGTTTGTGTTTTTACATGCAAAAAAGAGGGAGAGAGAGAGAGAGAGAAAAAACTCAGAGAACAAAGAACAGCAATCTATGGAAAAACAAAAGGGCGGAGGGCAGCTCACTGAAGCAAAGAGAGCAGATAAAGGAGGCACTTTCTGCAGCAGGAGCAAAGGCACTTGGCTTGTGGGAACGGGCAGCCGGGCACTTTATTCCGGCGATCGCTGGGTCCTTCTGCTCCCTCTAAGCAGCAGAGCCTCCACTCCCTCCTGTGCAGGCTGGTTAAAGCTTTATCCTCATAACAAGGTGATATCTTCACATTTGCATGACACACATATATTTGATTGTATTCACATCTGGAGGTGAGATGGACTGTATGTGTCCTGCTGGGACATTACACTTCATCCCCATTAATATGTCCATACCCTTGCCATGGGCCTTGGGCCCTGAGGGCAAAATGAGCTTGCACATGCTGCTTATTTTTTTTT